TGTGTGTGTGTGTGAAAGTCTTGTGACCCGCGCGAAACCACTCCAGTTTGAAACCACTATTGGATATAGTATGTATGGTTGTTCAAGGTGCGGTAAGCAGGAACGAGAGAACTGCCTCCGAAAATATCGGATCGTAGCGAGGCAGAAAGTAGGCGACAGCAGGTGCCCTTTGCGAGCCACCGACGCCGCTGCTGGTTCCCCCTCCCTACGTCACCCGCTCCAGCGGCAGGAGGGAGGGGGACCTTGGATTTGTGCCTTGATTGGTTCTCAGTAGCGTTAGGGTTGAGGGAGTCGCTGCCCAGACCGTCGCGGGGCGTCGCGATTGAGTAAGTTTTCTTCGGCCCCGTTCGCGGTCAGGCAGGACTCTTGCCTTCGTCTAGGAGCCAGCGGGGTGGGGGTCCCGGATCTCGTCGAGATCGCGGGCTACGTTGTCTAGAGGTCGACCGGCACTGGCCAGGTTGGTCCTCAGATGGGTGGTGGTTGTGTGGAGACAGAGATTCTTCTACCTCAGCGTCGGTATGGTTTCATGCTGCATTTCTTCCTCCTTTGTGCTACTGCTGGAGGGATATCCTACTTTGCCGGGCAGTTGGTCCGACCGTGGCACCGGAACCAGATCCTATTTCTCTTCCATATGGAAGGGACACATACATCGGTACTCAAAACCAGATATGGCGAAGGTTGATGCAGGTGTGTTAGATGCATATGTATGTTCTCGTCTTTTCGGCGCGGAAGCGAAGAAAAGGGGGAGCAGCATAATGGTGATTATACCATGGTTGAAGATGATGACCTGCTTAAATCTAACTATAGATGTTTGTGTTGCATGGGTCTTCTCGCAAGGTTTACCTTCGAAGATCTTCGTGTTTTACTGGTTGTTTTAGGTTGCTCTTTGTTATTCTAGTTTTTTGTGCGTGTTTTAGGGTGTGCTTGTACATATCAAAAACTTTGTACTATTTTGCGACTTGAATAAAAGCATGCTTCCTCAAAAAAAAATTGTACGGCCGTTCAATTATGTGCACAAGTGTCACCCAATTCCACGTGCACGTATTCATCTTCACGCACGTTAACAAAACATATATCAGGTTAGTACACGTCACAAACAGGTAACAACATCACAATGCTAGTATGCATCCCGAAACTTAGTACCGTAAATGAAAAACCATTCAGATAAAACACTTACACCATCATTATTGAGAAAGCTATATCCATAAATCTATCTTGCATTAATAAACAACGATAAGAAACTATGCACCAGGAGCGCCCAGAGGATTAAGTAAATCTTTAGTGTACTAAATCTTAGCAATTCACATTTATTTATGACACATACGAGCTTCCGAAGACACACTGGCCCCAAGTATTATATATTCGGTGTGATCCATATCTCTGAAGGAACATGCATTCTCCAACTTTTAGGCATCCCTACGAAGGGAAAAGCATGCTCAAAGACTCTTCTTTCTATGTCATATGACCTTACACCTCCCCATCCACGACAACGGGCAACCAAATCAAATGTCGCTGTCATCCAAGGAGATGAGAAATAGATACATTGAGGTCTTAAACCTGGGAAATTCTTCGAGGGTAAACATGCCGAGTGATTCAGTCCAACGAATATTGCATGCTCTACCAAGTCGTCCGGTGATACCTTCTTGTATCCTTCAGGATGAACCTTGGCAATTTGAAATCTCACACGATCCACACGATTTGCAGAAATGGCCCGGACTTGCAAGAGATCACCCCATGGTGTAGACACCAAGTGCCTAGTAAGAACACTTGAATAGGTACTATGTGCAATAATCGCCTCCTTTGTTGGTCCATTCGGTCCATCAAGATAATATTTCTCTACTATTCCATGGTATGTCACAGTGTAAAAACTCCCATTATGGTATGCACAGTCTGCATACCGATTTTGTACCCTTCTAGCTGAAGTTGAGACCACTTGCCACTTGCCCTCTCCTGCCCTAACAAAAGAGAGCCAATTGCTATCATAATGAATGATCATGACAATGTAGTTGCCCCCTTTGGATGGAGTACAGGACAAAACTGCCTTCTGGAAGAACCATGTTGCCAGATCTTTTGCATCATAGAATTCATCTTAAAAAGACAATAACCTTCTATGTTTCCTTGATTATCACATATTGCCTCCACGAATGAGAAATCGGTAATTGGTGGTAAAGAGACCATGTCCGAGGTAAAGGGGTTGAAGAGAAGTAGATTGGAGAGTTCATTTACCAGAACCAGCCATCCATGAGAAGCTCCAACACATGCAACAAAACAACCCTTGGGAAAATCAACATCATAAGACTTGTTGACGTCCAGTAGATGGCGGAACTTGCAGGTCACAGTCGAGCTCGAGTTGATCTTGGGTTGACTCTCCTCAACAAGGTGGGTCCAAGACATGAGCCACGGTCTTCAAGAACATGGGACGCCAGCAGCAGCCGCAGCCTAGCTCCATGATGTGCAGACTAACGCAAAAGCAAGGCATTCCTGGAGCTGGAGGTGTTGGAGGATTCTGAGGAGGAGATCCATGGGAAGGTCCGACCAACTGGACCTTGCATAAGAGCCTGCCATTGTAAATAAAAATACCTCATATTATGTGCTGGTCTGCAGGTCATGTACATATAGCAAAACAAACAAAGATCCAACACATATATTGGTCGGACTAGGACAATGAATCTTTTGTGACGAAAGAAATTATATAAATAAAACTGGAAAACCAAGTGGAAAGTTATGCGACTTGGCCAAGAAAATTGCGCGCAAAGAAACAAATATCTACTCACAAAGAAGCAGCCGGTGTGATGCCAACATACTGTGCAAAGCAAGGAAACAAAACTTCATCTTTTGTGCAATCCTTAAGAAAAATGAAATCTTTAAGAAGAAAAATGAAATCTTTAAGCAAACAAATAGTGAAAGAACAGTCATGTCACTAAAATCTAACAAATCTGAACTCTGCTCCCCGCAATGACCACACACTCCCATGGCCCGGCTTAAAAATTGCATCTTTCTATGCTACTCCCTCCGTTCGGAATTACTTGTCTCAGATATGGATGTATCTAGAACTAAAATACGTCTAGATACATCCATTTCTGTGACAAGTAATTCCGAACGGAGGGAGTAAATGGCTAAATGGTCGAGCGCAAGATTGAGGTCGACTTACAGATGGCATCTTGGGGTAGCTCATCACCAACCGAGGAATGGACAAAACCAATAGAGTATTCATGAGTCCCTCCCATGCTCCTTCCTAAATAAAAGGGGCTGAGAGAATACAGAAGGGAGAGGCGGAAATCACGGATTGGGTCAGATCTCAAAGACAAACCTGTGACAGAGATGGGGACTCTGAAGCACAAGAAATCCCCAAAAATGGAGGGTACTGGAAAGTCGTTGGTTTTGCTTTTGACAGCCGTACAGGTTGCCAGATTGCAAGTAATCCTGCACTATCTTCTTCATTTGGAGATCTCAAGGACTCATCCCCAAAGATTTGACAAATAGCTATCACAAACTTTTTGCAAGCTTTTACATCAGTAGTTTTTGCAGACCGGCCGTACTCATCCGCAGCATCAGCTGCATATCCATCAGTTAGCAGCCGCATTGCCACGATCATCTTCTGAAGAGGCTGCGAACCAGGAGCACCACTAGCATTTCCTTTTTGCTTAAAATAACCATCATGATCATGCTCAACTATAGCTTCACCTATGCGATAAAATAAACTTCGGGACATTCTAAACCTGCGCGGAAAAACATAAATGAGATAGGGAGATGGAAAATAGGCAAACAAAGAACAATGTGCTAATTACCAACCTTTGGCGAAAATATTTTTCAGGAAAGATAGGCTTTTGCTTGAAGTAGTCATCCCACAGAAATCCAGCACCTCTTCCGCAATCCACTGTCTGACACCCGATTTTGGAATCGCCATGGCGTCGATTATTCACCTTCTCTTCCTCCTCATGCTCCAAGGATGCTGCAAGAATGAGTTCGTCGTCGCCAGATGAAGACAACGGCGAATTCATGAGCATATCCAACACTTGCATCTCCTCAAAACTTTCATCTCCATCCATCTGCCAGCAAATAAGTAGCAAGCAGCGGCAATCAAATAAGTAGCAGCACTGAAAAATTAACTAGCAGCAACTCTATGTATATTACAACACGATCAACAAGCAATGCTCTCTCAGTATGGAATTAACTAGCAGCAAATAGCAACCACCAGCAGCAAATAGCACTTCATCAAGGAATGCTATCTGTATATAAAATTATCACAACAGAACCCAACCAGCAGGAGCAACTAGTACAAAATTCGCTCTCTTTCTCAAAAAAGACTAGGGCGGCCGGCTGGAGGTGTCCGGACTGGAAGGGATTTGACGCGAGGGAGGGTTCCGGGGCGGACGGTTGACGCCTCTACCACGCCTCCACGACGTCCGGGAGATCGAAGATGCCGAGGCTTTTTTCGACGATGTTCGCCTGTAAATCCCCTCGACAAGCTGCTGGGAAGCGTTTTCGGCCTTCGTTGCGTATCTCCTCGAATCCCCATGTATTCGGCTGCCCGGTGTAGCGGTGTGTTTGGTTTTTATCACGAAAGTGGAAAATCATGGGTCGGTTCCGTCTCCGAAACCCATCCAATCTTCTCAAATCCTTCAGGCACGATGCCTTTTACTTCCTCTGTCTTATAATATCTATCTTTATTTTTATTTAATTCTTATTTTTATCTTTACCTACTACTGGGTGTGGTTACTTCCACTTTTGTTCCGTACGTTTCAGGTAGTATCTATCATATCGGAGAGTATGTACGTGTAGTATGTAGTATATATAAAATTTTTAGGTAGTATATATATTACTCCCTCCGTTCCACAATATAAGAGCATTTTGCAAGCTAACATAGCTTCCAAAACGCTCTTATATTGTGAGATAAAGGGACTACTTTTTTGATAGTATGTATCATATTTTATGCATACTCCATTTTACGTATAAATATGTACGTATTTCACAAATACAATAAAATTATGAGCTCACTTGCTATTTTTTATATAAAGCTCACTTTGGAGTATCTTAGATATAGTATATGAACATACTAAAAATAATAAAGTAGAGTATATACTATCACATGCTAGTATATAAAAAATGGGTGTA